GGTGCAGGAACCATTGCAGTGGAAAACGGGGTTACTACTGGGCGCGATTCAGAACAAAAAAAAATCCTGGGGACCGCCGGGGCCCGTAGAATAGTGGGCCCATCACACGTGGGCAAACGGTCTGGGGCTCTTCTCAGGGCGGATATAGCCCTGTCCTTGCCGGCCCACACTGGGCCAAGACAACATGGAGGTGTTGCTGGACTTGGTGTGGACCTGGAGCTCTGGAGCTTTGACTGTTCCAACAGCGTGCTAAAGCTCGGAATATCACGGCGTTCTTCCTCCCCCTACTAGACGCCGTTCAGGCTTTTTTTTCCAAGGCGGCGAGAGAGCTGGTCTCCCGCACTGCAGGTACCGACGAAGCTATCGCCTATATCGTCCGCCAAGCTGGCCTTCCCCCTCAAGCACGACATGAGCTCGCCGACTTCATCAAAAGCCATCCCCCCATCTTCGGGGCCACCCCCAGCATGCCCAAGAGGTTACATGCCCAGCTCGCCGACGCCTACGGTTCCACTTGGTGTACTCTTCCAGGGGGAAATTCGCTCGCGTTTCCTATGATAGGCTCTGGTACAGGCCAGCAGTTGTGGGATCTTGTTTTAAAATTACGTCATGGAGGGTATCATAAGGAAAAGTCCAGGACATGTTGTTGCACAGTGAGGTTGAGATTCGGCACCTTATGGCCACTGGAGGCACCTTACACGCCAACACGCAGAGGGGCATCACCTATCATTTTTTTTTCACACTCGCCGGTGCCTCCCCATCGCGTCGGCGCTCTCACGCCACCGGGCGGTCCACTAAGCTGCCCAGTCTGCGATCATAGCAGTTGCAGAAATCAAGGGCTTGAGAGAACAAGCGCGAAGACCCTGGAGCACGAAAACCCTGGAGCGATCGAGGTGGGGCAAGCATGATGCGTCCTGCCAGGCTCGTAGCCTCACCGTCCGGCCTTCATAGTTGCCCACAGGATGGCGCACGCCTCAGGCAGTCGCACGTGCGTCACTTACACATGCGCCACCCACATGGGCAGAGGGCGACGTCTGGATCCAGATAGCACAATACACACGTATCTCGAGTCAACGGCCATGTTCCAGCTTCAAAGCACTATACCGCTGCGCGAGTGAAAGCTTAAACGGGCCACCGCGCGCGGCACGCGAACAAAAGCAACGTGAAAAAAATTTAACGAGTGCTGACGGCAAAACTCCACAACCTTCAGATCCAGGATTGCACCGCAATGCACACAGTCTACATCAACCAGTCAGCACTCATTATTTTTCGCTACTAGGCCCTGGTAGGATCATACCAGAAGCCACGCAAGCAATTCTCTACACAGCAGACCGTCGGTGGACAGAGCTGCTTCTTGAAATGCCAGCAGGATAACTGAAGAAGGGGACTGACCTGGGTACTCATTCGGGCGGTCTCCTGCGCCCCCACCACCGCCACCACTCAACACGACCGGCAACAAGTACGATTGCTGCTAGCTGTGCAAGTCCAGCCCCATGAATTCGCCGGCGTTGCAGTTGGAAGAACATGGCTCTACAGGCGCACGTGCGCCTCAGTTCCAGCCGCTGCTCACCTGCATCTGATACAACATCGCGGGAGTAACGGCATCGTTGGTGTACTGCATCTTCGCCGGCGAGGTGAGCGACCGCTGCCACCTGTGCGCCCACAGCATGTCCTCGGCGCCTTCCTCGAACGGGTCGGCCCCGAACGAAGACCCATCGCCCCACGCCTCGCTTGAGGGCTTAGCGTCGTTGACTGGCAAGAACACCGGGTCGGACAAGCTGCCGTACAGAGCTGCCCTCGAGATGCCAACCTCTTCCTTGCCGAAATACCCATCGCCGAAGGCGAGTGCGGCCGCCTGACTCTGGCTCCATACCATCATCGCGGCAGACTGCTCCGCCAAGGCGGCAGCCACGCGTTGCCGCGCCTCCGCCTGCAACGCCGCGCCTGTGGCTGCCACCCGCGCCTGTGGCGGCTTTGGCTGGTTCGGCTTGCCGTGGTTGGGCGCCCCAGCGCCCTCGCCACTGTGCACGCCCCCGCAGAACACGCAGAAGCGGGCCGACACCAGCTTCGGAGGCACCCGCTTCCCGCACCAGACACAGAAGCGCTTCGTGGCAGCGGACTCCTCGTTCTCCGCCTCCGCCTTCACCTCGGGCTCTGGCTCTGACATGCTGCCGACGGGCGACGAAGACGCCTTCCGGCGCGCCGCGACCTGCGTCGGCTGCGGCAGCGGGAGCCCAGGCGGGCCGGCAAGCCCGATCTGATGCTTCTTGTGGTCGTCCTTGCCGCTGTCGGAGCTCTGGGGGGATCCGAGGCCTTCTTTCGGGACAGGCAGGCCTGGCGGACAGGCCAGGTCATCCTCGAACGCGGGCACGGGCGAGGAGGACGGCACCTCGCCAGCGTCCTCCACAGCGGAAGTCGTCGGCAACATTCCTCCGAACTCAGCGGAAGCCGTCCGAAGGAAGGGCTGACCTATTGCGCACTCATAAAAACTCTTGAGCCAAAATGGCTACGGAAGGGGCATCACCTTTCATGGGCACTCTATGGATCTTTCTTTCGATGACGATGCCTTGTGCATGCTTATGGGCAAGGCCACGCGCATGCTCCGATTTGCTCCGCTCATTGCCGCCACTGCGTTTGACACTTTTGTCGAGCACGGTATGCCATTGCACACCGCCAAGGGCAGGAGCGCCGTGCTCTCTCCGTCTCGAGACAAGGGCTCCAAAGGAGCTGAGTTGAATCGTTGGAGGGATCTTCGAGGTGAAATCGCTGTCCCTACTCGTCTGCTAGGATCGATCACCCTGTTCGCGGTTCGGGAATGCACGATCTTGGGTACGGTTCTAAATGGAGGAACATCCCTGGGTCCAGAGCTGGCGCACAGTACGCAAACCAGCATGCCTCCTTGGAAAGCCCTACGAGTTCTTAAGGTTCCAGATCTAGACAGATCCATCGGCCGCATACTCGTGAACTCGCTCATGTGCTCGAGCATGCTTTTCAGTGCAGGCCAGAGCTGACCCCTAGACAGCAGGCTTCTCTTTCCAACGACTCGGTGCGGATGTACCGAACAGTGGTGCGCAGGCCAAGAGAGACGACACAGCAGCTCCCAATCATCACATCCTTGCTCAAGTTGAACGGCCATGTCTCGAGGCTGCTGTAGCTGCACACCGTCTCCGCATGTTGGTCGTTTCCAGCATGCTGGGCCAGATCATACGGTGGCTCTAGCAAGAACGTGTTCTCTGAAGCCATGACGTCTTGGGTTCACCAGGTGCCTGCGGACCTCCATTGGGTCAAGAAATTTGATCACACGCATAATAACATGCCGGACCCTGCAGAGGATCTGTATGCTTGGGAAGCCAGGGTTAGGCAATCGGCGCTGGACTAGAAAAACGCACGGTCAGGTTAGCTCTTCGGTCCCAGGTCGAATACTCGGACCGTATCGTGGCCACCGAAATCACCGAGGAAATCATTTTCGAGGAGTTGTTCGAGGCTGGTGTCCCTCGGCCCGTGCATGACGATGCTCACCCGATACGAGACGCCCAGGTCTCCGAGGCCCCCAAGTATTCATGTATGTGGTGTGTAGCCTCCTCCACGGGACGGAAGGGGCTCAAACAACAGATTGTTAAACACCATCGCTCTTTTATCCAGCAGGTTAAGTGGGTACTGGGAGATACGGCTACGTGCGGCATGTGTCACATGAGATTTGCTTCCTTGGAGCCTTGACAGAACACATAGCCTTCGACTCGCCCAAGTGTGCCGTATCCCTCTTAGGCGAGCCACGCGAGTGCGCAGCGGAGGCATGCCAGTCTCTGAGCAGTACTGATCATGAGGCGGCCCGTCAGCAACGAGTGGCTGGACGGGGCCGCTGGCGGCCAGTATATCCTGCAGTCCGACAGCCAGGAACACACACACACACCATTTCAGAAGGACGTCGTGTCTCAGCTCACGGTGGAGGAGGCTAGGGATATTCTGGCCTTGGAGGATTACGCTCTCTCTCTCCTGAGGCGGCCCGGCAGTGTCTGGAAGTAGCTAGGCCCCCCCCTCCTCAGGCTCCTCCTCGTCCTGATGATCGATTCTGGCCCTTTCGGCCTCGGGATTCCTCTGGGGCAGCCGCTTCAACGCTGCCTTTCCAGGTCAAGAGGCTGGAGCTGTTCGTGCCCCACTGATCTTCTGGAGTGAGGAGGTCCGGGGATATACACTTTCATCTTGAATGTGCTTGGCCGTCCACGGCCTGTGTCACATACCGTCTCTCCGTGGGTGTGGCGATGGACCCAGAGCGCGGCGGTCTCACGCGAGCTCAGGCCATTAAGGGATGGATAGGACATGTGCGTGCCAGAAGGGTCCTTAATTGGGGGGGGTGGCCCTGCGAAACGTGGAGTGCGGCTCGTTGGTACGAAGGCCCCCCCCCTTGCGAACCCAAGAGCGTATGCCCTCCCTTCCTACCTACGTAATACCCCTGGCGGGGGCAATTGCTCCCATGGCCCAGGCTCTCACAAGAGCCTCTTAGGCAAAGCTACTAACGGCTTATGTAGCATCTCTGCCAGGAAGACATACTCGTCTGGCCTATCCGAGGCGATCGCGACCAGCATTGCAGACTCCTTGCGAGATCTGATTGCTGACAATGAGGCCGATTCGGATGTTGTTTTCGGGATCGTTTTTTCCTGCCTGACCTGGGGGGCCAAACTCTTGCTGAGGCTCCTGACGTTGCGCTTCGACGTCGCAAGGGTCGCGCAGCCGACCCTGAGAGAGAGAGAGAGAGAGACTCCGAATTCAGGTTCCTGGCCCTCCCAACCCAGATCCGGCGCAGTAACCTGAGACCAGCGCCCCTGCCCCGCCCGACGAGGTCGAGGCTTCAGACAAGCAGGCCTACCTGAACCCTCCAGGACCAGGAGGCGGCACATTTCTGGTCTACTCCACTCTCTTCTCTTCCTCGTCCTGACCCCTCGTCTTCCCCGCCTCTTCCTCCTCCCCCGTCCTGGCCGAGGCTCAGCTTGCCTTCCTCAGGCTTAAGCGCGTGGCCGCCTCGCGCCAAGAAGGCGGCCAGGCTTCTCGCGCACTGCGCGCTCTGGACCGCACCAGGCGGATAACTTCGAGGCTCCATCTTCTTTCCCGCCACCTGCCCTTTGGGGGATCTTGGGTGGAGGAGCGGATCTTCCTCTTTGATCGATGTTCAATATTGTGACGAACGATGTCGCTCTGGCCTGGTTCCAGGCCGCCATCGGTCTTTCCACTAGTCTGTCAGATCGGTACCGAGCACGCCCAGCGCGAAGCCGTCGTCGAGCGAGAGAGCGTCCCCCCCTTACTCCTCATCGGTCCTCCTCGTCATCCCAAGTTCCTCTTCCTCCTCCTCCTCCTCGTCTTCCGCATCCCCGTCCATCTCCTCCTTGCGTTGACGTCCGCATTGAAAGACGCCGAGGAGAGAAGATGCGCCTACAAAATAACCCATGAAGCCTCCAAGACGGCCTGAGAACGGCCAAAGAGGGCCTCTAGACCGTCAAAGACGGCCACGATGGCCCCAGAACGGCAAAGAAAACCCAGTGACGGCCACAGGGGGCCCCAAGACTGCTCCAACGGATTCCCAAAACTGCCCCAGAGGAGCGCCCTAAAAGTTGCCAAGGAGCGCTTTAAAAACTGCCTAAGAGCGCCTAAGAAGCTGCCAAGGTGCGCCTGAAAAGCTGCCAAGGAACGCTTGTAAAGCTGCAAAGAAGCAAACTGCCAAGGAGCGCCTGAAATGCTGCTAAGAGGCGCCTGAAAAAGACTGCCAATGAGCGCCCTAAAAGCGGCCGGAGAGCGCCTTAACGCTGCCAGAGAACGTTTTAAAAGCTGCCAAGGAACGCCTTTAAAGCTGCCAAGGAGCCTTCGAAGCTGCCAACGGGCGCCTGAAAAGCTGCCAGGGCGCGCCTGAAAAGCTGCCACGGAGCGCTTGAAAAAGATTGCGAAGCTTGTAAAGCCTCAGAATCCTCGGAACCTACAGCCGAGGAGTGGACCAATTCACTGGGAAGTGGACCAATTTACTGGGAAACGGATTGTTTCTGGGGTCGCCCTGCATGTGGGACTGCTGTCTCCCACACAACCCCAAACAGGACAACAAGAACGCGCTCTGACACTTGTATCCGCCTTGATCTAGCATGCGCCCCAGTGCACGAGCCCGGCCCCCAAGAGAATTCAAGCCACATACCGGCGCCACAACGCGAGCGCGTCGAAACCCTTCAACAACCAATGGCAGTCGAAGTATTTCAAAATATAGCTTATCAAAGAAGATGACCAAACAAAGCTGGCCAGCGAAAAGGCGGCACGTTGTTTGAACTTCAGCGCCCGCGCACTTCCTTATCACCCGCTCCAGCGCCATCGCATCACCGCTGCTATCGTCAACACCAACCGCTGCCAATGCCGCCATCATCAGCAGAATCACCTGCATCACCGGCACATGAACATTATCATCGCCATCGTCGTCACCAACATCGGCGTCGGCGTCATCATTGGCCTCGCAGTCATCATCACCATCATCATCATCATCATCATCATCATCATCATCATCATCACCATCACCATCACCATCACCATCACCATCATCATCATCATCATCATCATCATCATCATCATCATCATCATCATCATCATCATCATCATCATCATCATCGTCACCACCATCAACATCATCAGCGTCAGCATCATCAGCATCGCTACCACCATCGCTACTGTCATCATCGTTGCCGCACTTCTCGACATCATGACACCGCACCCGCCCGAGTCATCGACCCGCACTGCCCACGCGCCATCGTGACCTCTGATACGCGTTTTGCAATTCCCAACGGCAAGCGCCACCGCGGCCGCACCAGTTGTGTCAAAGAAGCTGGTCGATCTGGGCATGAGCTTGCGCGCGCCAGCGCGGCCGCAGAGATGCCCCAGCCAGCGCCAAGCACATCCGTCATCATGGCCGCATGGGTGTTGCAAAACAAGTTGCGAGAGGTAGGGTGGGATGCTTGCGGGAGCAGTGTAGTTGACAACTCACACTTTGTAACGATCAATTGCACCACATAACCACAAAAGCTGCACGCCAAGAATGCAATAGAACATTGTTTGGGGTCCATGCTTAAGAACATGTTTTCATGGCATTCCACGATTACAAACCAATCCAATTCCCAATGGGCATCATTGTACGCAACAGTCGTGCAGCGCATTCGCAAACACAGCGGTGACGAAGAAGGGACCAAACGTGTTCCCACTCTGATTTCCAACGATGTTGCTTACATCCCTGCTCGATTTACGTGAGCTGGGGAGCGCACGTGTCTCTTGGGTGCACTCATGAAAAAGTATCTGCGCTGGCGAGGCGGACGCTTACGAGGCCAGAGCCCTGTGCCTCCACAACTCTGTCCCAGAGCGTCTGTGCGTAACCCGGACCCTTCGCCAAACTCCAAAAACTCTCTTTCGCAGGACCCTGCAGCTTCGGAGCAGCAAAGGATCCTGCGTGCGTGTTTGGGAAAATCCTTGCATTGCGTTCGGAAGCCA